AGACTTGGTCTCTTAGGATCATCCACAGGTACCTATGCTGTAGATAGGTCTTAGTCATCAGGTCTACTTCACTTCCTTGTTGCCTGCTTAGACTCTTGGCACTCTTAGGTGAGCAGACTTAGTCAGCCTGTGTTGCCCTAACATGACCCAACCTCTCTACCACAAGGCGAAGTTGCTCCAACTCCCTCACTGTATCAGATGTGTCAATCACATCCTGCCACACTTGGTTGACCTCATTTGAGGCAGCTTGTTCTACAGAGGTGAGACACACATTCACATTGCCAGCAATGCTGAGATCTTGGACCACTGACAGGAGAGCAGCATGGTGATGAAGGTGCTCGCAATGTGCCAGAGCAAGCTCTATCTCAAGTCAGGCCAAGTTGTTTGCATTCTGGGCAATGACAGCATGTGGCAAGACAAAGACTGGTGCCAGGTGAGTGATAGGGGGGTACTAATGAGTGATCAGCATGTAGGTGTGAAAGATGGGGCTGATGTGGCCATGGGCATTTGGCTGTTCAGACATACTGCCCTGTTGAAAAACAATAGGAATGTCAGTGCATTTATATGAGCCTTCAAGAACATCTATCATCAGATTGAGAGACATACCTGTGTATATGATGTGGACATGAGGACAAGGACAAGGATGCAAATCATTGCCAAACACTGTGAGAGTGGGAAAGGAGATGAGTAGGAGGAGTGATAGAGAACAGGAAGGCAAGGACATGAGTCATTGCTGAATGCCATGAAAGTGGAGAGGTTGAGAGCAGAAGATGAGTGAGAGAGAATGGGAAGGCAAAGGCATGAGTTGTTGCTCAACAACATGAGAGTCAAGAGGTCAAGAGGTCAAGAGGAGAAGACAAGTGATAGAGAATGGGAAGGTGAAGATGCAAGTTGTTGCTGAATGCCATGAGAGTCAAGAGGTCAAGAAGAGAAGACAAGTGATAGAGGATGGGAAAGCAAGGACACAAGTTGTTGCTGAATGCCATGTGAGTCAAGAGGTCAAGAGGAGAAGACAAGTGATAGAGGATGGGAAGGCAAGGATGCAAGTTGTTGCTGAATGCCATGTGAGTGGGGAAGGTGGCCAGGAGATGAGACCAAATGGTGCATGCCCACAATTGACATAGCCACCAATTTCCCTTAACTAATCAAAAAATGTGGGGGACCCTGCTTGCAATGGGTCATGTGAAAAGATATCAGGTTGCAGGGACATTCTTGATTCTGCATCAGTCATGTGATGAACAAGTTGACATGTCAGTGAGTTGTGACATTGTTGATTTCCTTGCAGTCAGACATGTGATGGACAGGTCAACATGGTGGGTTAGCAGGGGAGCAATTTTTGATGCCATGAGTATGCAGTCAGAATGCATAGAGCAATATGGCCTGGGCACTGTTTCATCAGTCATGTTCATCCACACAGTGCAGAACCACCTCAGATCATCCTGGCATTGAAGCAGTAGGAAGGAATCACTGAGAGATGAGGGACTTCCATTCATTGCTCCAGTGACATTGTCAATCTATGGTGGGCAGGGAGACAACAGGTCTTCTCCATAATTGCCATACAATTACACACCCCATTTATTGAGGTATGAGTGATGCTGCTAGATAAGCCCAGGAAAGTGTTACTTACAGAAATCACTTCAATCAGCCTATCAACTCTTGTTTGCACTGTCACCTCTACTGTCACAAGTACCTCTTGGTGGGCATGATGTTGTCTAGCTCATAGGGATCTCAAGTCTAGCTTTGAGTGTTCAGAGAATATTAGAGAGGGAACAGAAGGCACAAACAGCCAGGGGGGCAGGTTCCTAAAGACACACCATCTGTTTCTGCTCTACTCCCACATCTACTTGCTAATCACAAGGTCCACAGCCACTCGGGCAAACACTCTGTCATCATCACCTTTTGGACATGTGTGTACCTATCATTGCACTTCTGGAAGCATGATCTGAATGGTTCAATGTATAATGGGAATGAATTGAAAGGTAGTCCATAAGCTGAGAAAGATGATGACAACATCAGGGTATCAATTTGGACAGAGCTCAGAAGCATGGCTTGCTATGCTCAATTGGTCAGATCAATCACCTCTACGTCATCAAAGATGACTGTCTGAGCTTTCTTGTGTGGTGCTGGCTGATCTCACTTTTGACTTGCACTCTCTTCTGTGACAGGGGAGGCATAATGTCAAATGAGTGTATCTTGGTCCTAAATGTCTGCCCTTTTCCATATGTGTGAAGCAGCTTCCCAAGGAATGGCTTATCTTGTATGTGATACCATGTCAGCATGCAAAAGTGAGAGTGATCAAGATCATCTCACCTTCATGAACATGCCTGGTCAATCAAGAGATGAAGGCATCCGGAGGAGCACTGCTCAAGATGCTGATCATCTTTTCATACTCCAGATGTATTTCTGTTCCTCCCAGTTTGCAAGCAATGCTGTCTCCAGCTTGCAGCAGGAGAATGCTGCCTGGCTTCAGCATGAAGCTGTCATCAGAAGCTATGGCTTTCCAAGACAATGTGTCATGCTGATAGAACTGCACCTTGGAGGTTGACATCAAGCTGGATCATCAAGCAAGAATGTGACAATTCACAGATCTACAAGCCAGCAAGGTCTAATCGGAGGGAGATTTTCAACTTGATGGACTGTTTATGGATCAATCACAGATGTGTTTGGGCCTCAGATTGTACCGGCCAAAACCCCTGCTGGTGAGGCAAAGCTATTTACTGCTACATTGATTGATACCTTTGGGGTGAGTCATCAATGTCAGTCATTGAATATGACCTGACTATATAGACCCTTCTTCATGTTGGCAGCTTTGATGAAAAAGCCTCTGCCTGTTTTCAATCGGCAGGGATCAGCAAAGTCAGTTGTGCAGTCTGTTACCTTCCTGATAACAATTGGCTGACAACTGGACAGATGGTTGCAATCTCAAATGCTTGCATCAGTCCCAATAAAGTGAATCCCTGTTTCATGCCAGGGAATATGCACAGCTGGCAGTTGACCATCACTGATGACACAGCAGTGTTGTTCCCCCTGCATGTATGTCTGACAGTTCTGCAACTTGAACTGAATGGGAGCTAACTGAGATGAAGAACATCTATCTTCCCCAAACTGTCCTTGATATAACACCTCTTTCCTTCCTTGCTGCCCTTGAAGATAAATCAAAAGTGAACATTTTGGGCATCATTCTTCAAGTTGGCAAGCTCGTCATGAAGCTGATTAAGATGAGTTCTGAGTCTGCTGCCCTTGATGGCTTGACCCAACAAGCCTCAACCAAGCAAAAATCTCATATGCTGCAGGAAGTCCAAGTGGTGGACAAAGAAGGGCATGTTATATATGTCACCATGTGGAATTCTTGAGCGCAGATCTTTGGTGGAAAGCATGGTCAGGTCTTGCATGTCATGAATGTGGTGGTTGAGCACCATGGTGGGGTGATCTTGAATTCAACCAAGAAGACTGAATTCCCTCTGAACCCAAAGATCAAAGGGGCTAATGAATTGAAACAGTGGTATTTCAAATCCTCCCCTCTTTCAGTGCTGCCTGACTTCTGCACAGGTTTACCGATGGTTTCAATGAGGCTATACTGAAGCATATCTCTTGTGGTTATACTGAGGAAGGTGGTCTGACTTTGACCATGCTGGAGGAACTCCCAAAAGTCTTGACAAAAGATCAAGTCTGCATGTCAAGGCTCAGTCATGGAGACTGCATCAACTACTTCAATATGGTCAAGAACATCAGTGGGTTCCAGGAAGGCATCATGTATCAAGCTTGCAGATTTCAGGGGTGTCAAGAGAGTTTGGAGAAGCACAAGGGTGATTGCCCTGTCAAGGAACACTCCCTGCAACCTGACAAGAAATGATATAAGTAAGCTGCTGGCTCAACTTGTCATTCGATTGCTGAATTACTGCTCTAGGTACAAAATAGGCTTCATGATTGGCAAAGATGACAACAAGGTCATGCTTCTGACCATGTTCTCTCTGGCTGGTATGATGATTATCAGTGCACCAGCTGCCAAGATGTACAAGATGGAAGTACATAGACCTTCCTCACTTGATCATTGTTTCTGACACCTAGCAGGCTACTCCAAATACCCAGTATATGAAGAAGTTGAAGGAGATCATTACCTCAGGTGCTTTCCACAAATTATTAGTTTGAGCAAGCACTCATCATTGGAGGGTAAGCTGAGCATTCCCTGCCTAACTTTGTGTGTGAGTGCTGATGGGGAACAGGATGTGAATAACTGGGAGCACTGCAAGCTGCAATATCATGTCATGTCAGCTTGGCTGGCTTGGGACACTGGCACTTCAGAGGAGGTGGATACATCAGGGGTTGGTGTCAATGAGCTGGCTGATGTCAATGATGTGAACAAGCATGCTGGCTGCCACTCGACATCTGAAAGTCATGAAGATCAACTCTCTTTTCATTGTTTCTCATACAGGTTCATGAACTGCCAATAATTGGTTATGTAACAATGCAGATACATCGGGAGAACATTAATGATACAGTGTTCTGTAGGTCACGTGTTTGGGATAATCGGGGATAATCTGGGATTTATCCCATAAGCGTCGGTCTCAGACCGACCTCAGATTATCTCGGGCGACGCACTGAGAGCGACTTAGATTATCCCAGTCGCTGAAGTGGCTGCATTAACGACAAAGTTCTTCTTTGTGGATCTGTTGCGGCGCTTGAGGGTGGGCAGTTGATAGACCGCTCTCGAGGGAGGGAATGTTAATTGGTCTGCCTCTCTATAAACATCTCGTTCTACAGGTGCTCACGGTTTCTCAGGCGTCGACCATGGGGAAGAATCCACACCTCGCTATATTCCAACTCATGATGCCCATCCCATCTCTGTACCCATCGTTTTGCCCACTGCTGGCCAACGCTCTCGTTCACCCCCCAGGCTGCGGTCGTGGTCTCCGATGTCAACTCTTGCCTCTGCCGCATGTTGTCAATGCTCTTTGTACACTCTTCCATGAGGTGGGGCAATCCAATCGCTTCGAATTGCTTCCTTGCCTCTTCCAAGGTCGCGATGGCCTCCCCAAACTGACCTTGCATCCCAAGGGTGTCGCCTATACTCCTCGTACAGTCGGCCGTGTCCCAAGGAAGACCCAAGGTTCTGAATTCTACCCTTACTCCCTCCATAATCGCAATGGCTTCTTCGTACTTGGCCTGCATCCTCAATATCTCGCTAGTACTCCGAGTGCACTGAGCCACGCCAAGGCGGTCTCCAATGGCTTGAAAGCCTACCCTGGCCTCCTCAAGTCTCGTTGTCGCTTCCTCGTACTTGGCCTGCTTTCCCAAGATATCGCCAATAAGGAGAGTGCACTGAGCCACGCCGAGGCGGTATCCCATGGCTTGAGAGTCTATCCTGGCCTCCTGCAGTCTCAGTGTTGCTTCCTCGTACTTGGCCTGCATTCGCAGGATGTCGCCTATACCCCTGGTGCACTGGGCCACGCCGAGGCGGTATCTAATGGCTTGGAATTCTGTTCTGGCATCCTCAAGGTTCGTTGTTGCCTCCTCGTACTTGGCCTGCATTCGCAGAATATTGCCTATCCCCTGAGTGCACTGAGCCACGCCGACGCGGTGTCCAATGCCGTGAAATTCTATCTTGGCCTTCTCCAGTCTCGTTCTTGCTTCCTTGTAGTTGGTCTGCATTCGCAAGATATCGCCTATCCCCTGAGTGCACTGAGCCACGCCAAGACTGTATCCAATGGCTTGGAATTCTATCCTGGCCTCCTCCAAGCTCGTTGTTGCTTCCTTGTAGTTGGTCTGCATTCGCAAGATAGCGCCTAACTCCTGCGTGCACTGAGCCACGCCCAGACTATGTCCAACGGCTTGGAATTCTATCCTGGCCTCCTCCAGCATTGCAGCCGCTTGATTCCACTTGAACCGCTTTTCAAGGACCCTGCTCATTCCCCGCCGGCACTGAGAAATGCCAACCTGCTCTCCAATGCTGCTGTACCTTCGGATCGAGGCTTCATATTGCTTCATAGACTCGTTCAATTGTCCCTTCGTCTCCAGAATATCCCCGATCCTCATGACGCATTTTGCAGCATGCTGTCGATCACGTTTCGCGTCCAATTGACGGAGCGCATGGTTCAAGAGTCCAGTACAATCCCCTAAAGAGCTGAAGTTGGAGAAGGCGCTCAGATCAAACGTAGCATCCGTCAAGCGTTCCTTCAAACGATGTTCAACTGACAGCGCTGATCGTTCGGTCCAGAAATGCCGCAGGACAGAGAGAGTATTACTGAATTCCGAGGAGAGGTATTCAATTGATTCTTGCGACATCGCTGTACGTAGACTCTGCGCCTTCTCCGTAATCTGCATATAATACTGACGCACATCAACGAGGTACCGGGAGGGGATCGGGTGATATCGCACAACGAACTCTCGAATGGGAGCGAGGCATCGGATGCGCTCCTTCTCGCGTATGGCCAGACCCGTCTTGACAGGACCATCGCATAGGCTCTTGGGCTCTCCATTGATGGAAGAGTCCTGGGTAGGTCGGACAGTAACGCTCCATCCGGTAGGAGGGATAGCACTACGAGCACATCGGCTGCAAGCGGGTTATTGAGCATTGTTCTTGAATTAAGAGACAGGCGGATCGAAACTTCCAAGCTCGTTAAGCGAGTGTCGCCATCGATACGCAGCAGTGATGTTTTTTCGACTTCGTACCAATCAATCAGGTCGGAAAGTGTCGCTGCTTGATCCAAGGTGGCCATTAACGTGATCGCGAGCGGCAAGCCATCGAGCGCGACGAGCAGTGTATTGAGCTTGTCGTCCTGATTTGAGTTGAGAGCAAGCCACGTATGCTTCGAGGCTGTCAGGGAGAGGGGCGGTAATGGCAGGCGGCAGATGTCCGCCCATCGCACGGTGCTCGGCGGGGTCGACCCTCGCATTGTGATCATGAGCGAGACACGAGGTTTTCCGGCAACGGTTCCGAGCCAGCTCTCTACCTCAACCCGGCCCTCGCTGTCTAACGGCGTCTCGGCATTGTCGACGACCAGGAGAGCACGCTCGAGCGATGCGAGGTAAATCGGCACAATCCGACGAGCGTCCGTATCGTGCTGGAGCCGTAAAGTGGCAGCAAGCATGCTCGCAATTCCATCACAGGTAGGTACACCTTCGCAGCTCATAAATAACCGGTTCGCTCCGTATCTGGCCACAACTCGACTGTCGTTAATGATAGCCGCCGCTACCGAGGTTTTCCCGATTCCGCCTGGTCCGAGTATAGGAATATGACAATTGTCCATCTCGCAGAGACGCTGTACAATTGATTCGACCAGTCTGTCCCGCCCATGAAATACGGCGGGCTTCGGTGGCATTTCCATCAACGGCATATCGGTTGGCCTGCGGAATGCTGATGAATATGTGGCACATGGCAGTACAAAGTGCTCGCTTACAACTGGAATGGCATCGATCCGTTCCCCTGTATTTCATAAGACTTGCTGCCGATCATACGAGAGGAAGAAACCTACCCGTCCCTCCAACGCGACCAACCGCAGATCATGAGCAATCAGCCGCCCGCTGTTATCCACAACGTTCTTCAGCTGATATGGTATTAGAGCGCAGAGGAGAGTGTTACAATCCGCATGTGCCGAAAATCTAAGAATGATGGAATCAAGCCGCTCGTTCTGTGCTTGGATCTCGTCTTGACTGAGCTGTCGATATGGCGTTTGAGGATCATCCTGCTTCCGCATCAAGGCTTCGATGCTGTTCAGCGCCCTGAATCAAGTCAGCTTAATGTCAAATTTGGGGCCCGGGTAGAATTCCGAACTGCGAAAACTGGTCCAAGAGCCCAATTGCCTCTGTATCTGTCGTATCTGGCGAGCATCCTTTGGAGGACTTGGTCCTTGACGAATGCCGCTTTCTGCACCAGTTGCCGGCAAGCTTCGTCTCGGCGCTCCAGTATCTGCGGGAATCATTAAACGGGCCGCTAGATTAGCTAGGTAGAAGGACATACGGACGTGATTCCTGTTGCTTTTGCGGTCATGTCTTCGATCCGTGCCTTCATCCTACGGAATATTGCATTCGACGGGAGGCTTAACTTGATTCGACCAAGCCTGCCGCGAACTGAATCTTCATCTGAGCCACTTGGATCTCCACTCATGGCGATCCTGATGGTGGGTGTTGACAGATACAAACAGCTCAGACGGCTGGAAAATGTTGTCCTAGAACGATAGTAGAGCAACTTTGTAGATCAGTCGACTGGGAGGATGACTGTTGACAAAGGAATTCCGTGCTCCAAGTCACAGAATATAAGGGCAGGAATGCCAGCGTGAGTCGCCTGGCTATGCCTTCAATGATCCGGGTCATCCTGACCCGAGGTCGATGCAGGCGAGTATGAGCTAGAATCGCCGGAAGCACCGCGGAGACTGGCAGAGAATTTGCCCAACCGTTTATCGAACAGGCACAAGCCTGAGAGATGGACGCAGCGGCCAGATCTGAGCACCGAGTAAGGTGTTTGTGACAGTGTTTATATCCGAGGTATAAGAACATTGGACAATGTATGATGGTTGTGATTTGTGCCATGGACTCAATCAAGGGCACAGGTCGTGCAGGGCATCAATGTCCTGCCCTAAAGTATCAGACCAAAGAAGACCCTAGGTCTTGTTGCATGACGTCATGGGCAAGGACACCAACTCCCTCTACGTGCTCACATCCTCACCAGCCATACCTGGTACGGCCAGCTCGCGGCCTACCGACTCTCCTCTCCATTATCCATTCGCCATCCACTTGATATGGTTGGCCTGACTGGACGGCAGACGTGTGCCACGTTGATGCGTCGAACTGCCCCTAAATGCTCACGTTAGACCATTGTCCTGATCCCCTCCGGTCCAGCTCAAGCAAGAGGGAGGACATGACCCGAATATTCAGACAGATGATGGAGAGGGCAGTACAGTACACCATGAGGATGTATGCTGTGCTATTTCTGTCAGGTGCGTTGATATTCCTGTAAGAATGGCCGAGGCTTATGTTATTGAAGTGCCCAGTGCTGAAATGGAATCACCTGACATCTCCATGGCTCGACGAGGATCACACCGGCATTTATTTTTCACCACGTGCTCCATTGTAGGACATCACTGAACACGACGTTATGAATGCTAACCCGCTGTCTCTCGCCTCGGACTCGGCGGCACTTTTCAACATGGCTCTGTCCACATCTTCCGGCAGACGCATCCGAAACGCTGAGGGAAATTCCCCATACTTCATTCATCAGGATTCAATAACAACAGACATTACTAGGATGGAAGCGCTTTTCTTTGTTTCAAGCCCAATCGTCTCTGTGAGGCGCAATCTGGTGGCCTGTAGCAGGCATAACACTCTTCCATGTTTATCTTGCGCATGACGACGGGCGGGGAAGTACCCGTGGACGTCAACTCGATCAGCAACAAATGAGAAATAGAGAAAGCCGATACCCAGGTGATGACTTGTCAGAGAGGAGGGGGGTATGTTAAATGGTTTTCTCTCCCTCGGATAGGCCAAGGCGGATAGATTGCGCTCGTGATGCGGCTATGAGGGCGGCATGTGATGATGTGAGTAGTTTGCAAGATGGTGCACAGGACTTGATCAACATCATATCATGCAGAAGCCGTCTGTTCCTGCAAGGAGGCAAGCGGTTGTTCCAGGCTCAACAGTTCCACCGACCGTACCTACGCACGCAGCCTTGTGCCCTCCATCATAGGACAGCTGTATTGTACAACATTCTCTCAAAGAAGTACGCTACCCCATATCCATTTGTCAAACCGCGAACCTGCTGGGAGATGGTTCATCCGGCCTAGACCCCAAATATGTGTAGCTCGGCAGTGGCTGTCCGAATTGGGCGCAATTCTGCTTGAACGTCCAGGTGGCGTGCCTACATCGTCCTCTGCGGGGTTTATATCCAGATTATCAGCTCGCCGCTTGAAAATTCCCCGATTTGCCGCTCCAGACTCACAGGAAACTTCCGACAATGCTGTGCGTCCTCTATTAGCCTCGGGAGATCACACATACATGTACTCAGAGGTTCATTCATCTCCGGAAACCCCGTTTTCGCCTCGTCGAGAACTCCGATTCGGCGACTCCTCGTCCTGCGCTTGCAATCGCAGAATCTTGCGAATGATCTTCCCACACTGAGCAGCAGCTAGACGGTCTCCGATGCTTTTATATTCTGTCTTCGCTTCCCAGAGGCTCTCGAGCGCTTCTTCGTACTTACCCTGCCAACCGAGCATCTCCCCGATGCTCTTTGCGCACAATGCAGCGCTTCTAGAGGATCCAATCTCCTGGAATTCCTCTTTTGCATCCTCTAGTGTCGTTATCGCCTCCTCGTACATCTTCTGGATGCACATGATCTCGCCGATGGCTTGTGTACACTGAGCTGTGCTCAAGCGAGACCCAAGCTCCCGGAATTCCGTCCTTGTCTTCGTCAAGGTCGCAGTCGCCTCTTCGTACTTTCCCTGCATTCCTAGGACAGTCGCTATACTCTTGCTGCACTGCGCCATGCCTCGGCGGGATCCTATCGCTCGGAAATCCGTTTCTGCTTCCTCGAAGCTCACAATAGCCTCGTCGTATTTTTCTTGAATACTCAGGATATCACCGATGCCGAGTGTGGATTGAGCCCTTCCAAGGCGGTTTCCCATCTCTCGGAATTCTTTCCTTGCCTCCTCGAGCAATTCAAGCCCCTCCTCGCACTTATTCTTACGCCGTAGGATCACCCCAAGACTTTGCAGGCACTGAGCTATGCCGAGGCGGTATCCGATTGCCTGGAACTCTGTTTTGGCTTGCTCTAGCCTTCTGGTGGCATCTTCATCTTTGTCTTGCATGCTTTGGATGTCGCCAATGCTTTGCCTACACTGAGCGGAGCCCAAGCGGTCTCGAATGGCTCGGAATCCTACTTCTGCCTTCTCCACGTTCGCAGTCGCCTCTTCGTATCTGGCCTGCATCCTCAGAAGATCTCCGATACTCCGCAGGCACTGAGCGATACCCAGACGGTATCCAATAGATTCGAATACCACCTTCGCCTCTTCAAGATTTACGATTGCACCCTCATGATTGGACTGGATGCCCAGGACCTCCCCAATGCTCTGTGTACACCAAGCGGTGCCGAGACAGGAACCAGTCGCTCCGAATTCCGTCCTTGCTTCTTCGAACCTTGACGCAGCCTCTCCGTACTGGTTCTGCATGTACAAGATCTTTCCGAGACTCAACAGACATCGAGCCACGCCGTTTCGATTCCCCATGGCTTGGAATTCTACCTTTGCGTGCTCCACCCTCGCAGCCGCCTCCTTGTAATTCTGCTGTAACGACAGGATCTCCCCAAAGCCAAGGGTGCACTGAGCAATGCCCAGGCGTGAGCCGCACGCTCCGAATTCAGTTCTTGCCTCATTCAAGTTTGCTCCCGCCTCCCGGTACCTAGCTTGGTCCCCCAAGATGTCAGCGAGGGCTTGTGTACACTGAGCTATGCCCAAGCGGTCTCGGATCGCTCGAAAGTCTTCTTTTGCCTTGCCTATAGCCACGGTCGCCTCCTCGTATTTTGCCTCCATTCGAAGGACCTCACCAATGGTCCGTGCACACTGAGCTGTGCCGACGGGATCTCCGATCGCCACAAATACAGTCTTTGCCTCCTCCAGGATGGCCATCGCCTCTTTCCACCTGTGTTGCATCTGCAAGATCTCGCCAATGCTCCGAGTACACTGTGCTGTACTATGACGGTCTTCAATAGTTTGAAATTCCGCTCTTGCTTCGTGCAGTGCGGCACTTGCTTCTTCATACCGGTCCTGCATCCACAAGACATGACCGATGCTCTTTGTGCATTGAGCGGCCAAGAAGCGGGATCCAATTGTTCGGGATTCCGTCCTTGCCTCCTCCAGGATCGCAGTGGCATCTTCGTACTTGCTCTGCATTCTCAGGATATCGCCGATACTCTGCTTGCAATCAACAATGCCAAAGCGATCTCCAATATCCTGATACTTGATTCTGGCCTCTTGATATCTCTCTATCGCTCTCTGATATTCATTCCCCGTTGCCAAGATGTTCCCGATCGTCTGGAAGCAAAGTGCCGAGCTTGCTTTATCATCTTCCTTGTCGAACTGTGGAAGGGCAAATTCGAGAATTTCCATGCAATCTCCCAGACGTGCGAATTGAGAAAAAGAGGCAAGGTTGAACGTGGACTCCGTCAGGTCTTTCTTCAGCTTATCCGTCATGGACTGTTCAGCACGTTCGGTCCATAAGTGCCGGAGTACCGAAAGAATGTTGCTGAAGTCGGACGAGAACTGCGCAATTGCTTCACGAGACTTTTCACCGCCGAGGTCATCTACTGCCTCCGTCCTCTCCATGAAGAACAGACGCAAGTCCGCCAGGTACAGTTTGGAAGGAGAGCTATGTTGGAGAATGAACTCTCGGATTGGGGAGAGGCATCGAATCCGACCCTTCTCGCGTAAAGCCAGCCCGGTCTTCACCAGCACCAGCGCGTTTGACCTTGGGCTGTCGATCGAGGGAAGGGCTTTCGGAAACGTAGAAATCTGCATTCCGTCCGGCAGCAAGCACAGTATCGAGAGCATTTCGGCGGCTAGTGGACTGTTGATCATGGTACGAGAGTTCAGCGACACGCGGATGGAAATTTCCAGACTCGTTAATCGCGTTGTTCCTCCAGTGCTGAGTAGTGACGACCTTTCAGCTTTGTACCACTCGATCAACTCCGATGGTGTCGATCCTCGCGCCAGAGCAGCCATCAGGGTGATTGCGATCGGTAAGCCGTCGAGCATGGTTAGGAGCGTATCGAGTTCGGCGTCCTCACTTGATGTGAGAGAAAGCCACATCTGGCGGGATGACGACTGTGAGAGCGGTAGAAGAGGATCGCAGCAGATCTCCACCCATCGGACAGTCATCGGCAGGTTCGAGTTTCGCATGGTGATCATCAGGGAGACGCGCGATTCTCCTGCAATCGTCCCCAGCCAATTCTCTACATTCGCGCGATCTTCGGAGTCCAACACGGTCTCGGCGTTGTCGAGGACGAGGATGCCATGCTCGAGGGACTGGAGGTAGGCAAGAAGAGCCCGCCGTGGACTTGTATCGTGCTGCAAGCGCAGACTGGCCACCAGCATGCTGACGATCCCATCGCAAGTTGTTACTCCCTCACAGCTGATGAAGATCCGGTTGGCGCCAAATTTGGTTTTGATCCGATCATCGTTCAGTACAGCAGCAGCTAAGGAGGTCTTACCGATGCCTCCTGGGCCGAGGATGGGTATATGACAGCTCTCATTCTCGCAGAGATGCTGCACGATCGATTGGACTAGTTGGTCTCGTCCGTGGAAGACAGCGGGCTTGGGTGGGATTTCCACCAAGGGCAGATCGGTGGGACTGCGATCTACTGATGAGCACACGCTGGAAAGAAAGGACGGGGCCATACACTTGGTAGACGAGCAATCCGGCCCTCTGTATCATATGAGCTTCCTATCGAAAAGAGACATGATCACTTACCTGTCGCTCCAGCTTGATCAACCGTCCATCATGATCATTTACCCTCTCGCGCAGATTGACAACGGCTACTACCTTATGGTATGGTATGTTAGTAAAGTGATGCCTCTCTGTTGAGAACGGTGCTTTACGGAAAATTTGGTCATTAGGAATTCAAGTTTCTCCCCGAGAGCGCTTATGTCCGGTCGAGTCAGCTGTTGATACCGCGTAAAAGGACGTTTGCGCTTTTGCACAAGTTTGTACACGTCGTTCATCGCTCTGTAGAAGTCCGATTCAGTGACAAAGGTGGACGCGGTAAATCCGTCTATTTACTCTGAAAGTTCATGTAGCACCGCAGCCTCCATACCTGCCATTGCGGTGAGCGACATCCGTTCCAGTACCTGTACCCGAATGAAAGTCGCCTTCTCCTCCAGCTCTTCACATCGCTGCTCTTGATGTTCTAGAATCTTACTGGACATGAAGCTCAACGACGGTGACGAAACAAGGCAAGGACATACATCAGAGATCCCTGCGGCTTTGGTTGCCATGTTTTCGAGTTTTTGCTTGACTTCATCTGCTGGTATTCCATAGGATAGGGCTGAAGTGAACCGGGAGAGCCTTGCCCGAAGGGGATCCCGCGATCGATCAGATCCACTAGCCTGCCCGGCATCCATGGTGTCGATTAGCCGGTGGTGACGAAGTTCTAGGACGGTTCAGAGGTCACTGAAAACGAATACAAGTCGTTGAAGTAACCGAATGCAAAAAGCAGAACGTCAAGATAGAACGGAGCGTGTTGACCGATGATATGTAGGCGCCGGAGAGCAGGATAGAAGTACGACTTAAGGGAGCCTGGCTGAGCATTCGGGTTTCCAGGTTTGCTGGTTCATGTGAGACGGGACAAGAGCGTTGTTCGCACAAGGAGATGCTGTGTTATCGAGGGCCATCATTGTCACGAAGGAAACAGCCAGTAGAGCGTAACTATGGCACTTTATAAAGGACAATAAGCATCATTGCAATTATCCGGTGTGACAAAGGTTAAGGCGGTGCACAGCCGGGCTCACAGCTTGTTGTTCTGTCATCAAATGTCCATCAAACCAACAGTATACTATCCGTTAATTAAAGATAGAAAATCCGCAGGAAATGGCAAGATGCAACTGTCATCTCCTCGTCCCATGATAACCTCATTCCGTTTGACGTCGATCTGGACGTTCCTCTAGTGCTACCTTCCCAACCCGCGCTGGCCACTCCGACCAGCCCAGACCGGTGCCCCCACCCTCATCAAATCCATTGAAGACGTCTACCCTCACCCCGCAGATTACCGTCGCCCTGCTTTCCCTCATTCTCTAACCTCAAACCCGTCCTGTCAGCATCAGCGGGTGTCGCTCTAATTACCGTACCGAGAAGATCCGCGTTCAACTTGCTCTTGCTCTGCAATACCAGGACTGGCAGAAGAGGAACAGTGCATGGGGCACGCTAGAAGCTGCGAGGAGACAGTGAAGTCGGGCGAGGGAAGGGCAGAAGGGAGGCAGAGTAAGTCGTATTCTGCTTCTATGGGAGTGGACAGGGCGCAGGAGGAGGTGGAGCTTGGGGAGGAGGGCCGAAGGGAAAAACAGATGGATGGCCCAGTACACGTCGTTCAGAGAAGAAAATCTGATGTTCACGACGTGCGTCATGACCTCCCATTTCTATTCTAATAATATGCATGCTGAGAAGTGGCAAATGCTTCGCGCACTGAATGATAAACTCCTTGCAATCGTCACGCCTGCTATCCTGCTCGCATCCCTGCAATGGCTCCTTCAACAACAACTCCGTGCCTTACTCCTGAAGCTCCAGATGATCAAGGCCGATATCTGTACTGTCCTCCACTCCCTCGCGCAATGATCTGCTCCGCGTTGACCGGGATATCCTCGTTCGATCAGAGAAGGACTGTCTGCTGTTGTTCCCAACACGCTGAGATGCAACGCATTCAGATGAGGTTGCGTAGACTCGTGCAAAGACTGGGGCCTTAATGTCAAAAAGCCATAGCGAGTTGTTTGGTCAAGCACATCTGACTCCGTGCCTCTTGCTAACCCCACCCAGCGACACTCAACCTCTGCAACCAGTCTAGACCCCAATCGTATCAACTCATCAGGAACGCATGGCCACCCTGCTTTTCCTGCCATCTCTAACCTCATACCCCTGGGCGTATGGTTGTCCAAGCTACCAGCGAGCAAGTCCTGAAGGCCTTAGAGTGCAGCTCTCTATAGTGGATGGGCAAAACACGTTTCAGGCACGGTAGAAGCTGCGTGGAGGGAACAGGCCAGCAGGTGAAGGAAGAAGCCGAGGGAATATCTTGTTCTCCTCTGTCAGGTTTGGACAACGCAGGAGGTGGCAGAAGAGGGCAGTGTGCGAGGAAGAGATGGGGGCTAGAAGTGAAGGCGTGGATAGGACAGGAGGAGGCCAGCATCCGGGCTGGGGTTATTCGGGTTAGCGGGTTATATGCTATAATGTATTAGCAATTGACATGACTCTATTGTGTGATATAATTTCTCAGGACTCGGCCAACGCCACTGTCTCCGTTGTCAGAACCACCTCACCTTCCCTTTTCCGTATCCCCAGAATGTCGTCGAGGCTTTTTGAGCACTCCTGTGCGAGGTGGGGTAATTTAATCGCTTGGAATTGTGTCTTTGCTTCCTCCAAGCTTTCAATTGCTTCTTCATACTTGGCCCGCATCCCTAAGATCTCACCCTTGATCTTTGTGCATTGCGTAACGCCAAGGCGGTCTCCCATTGCTTGGAATTCTGATCTTGCCTCATCCACAGTCGTGGTCGCTTGCCTATACCTGGCCTGCATCCGCAAGAGGTCGCCTATGCTTTGGGTGCATTGAGTTGCCCCTAGACGGGATCCAATCGCGCGAAATTCCGTCCTTGCCTCCTCCAGCTTCGTAGTCGCTTGCTCATACTGGGCCTGCTTCCCCAAGATATCGCCTATTTTCTGCATGCACTGAGCAAAGCCGACTCGCGATCCAATAGCTCGAAACTCCGCCTGTGTTTCCTCCAACGTTGCTGTAGCGTCCTCGTACCGGCCCTGCATCGCGAAAATGATACCTATGCTCCGTTGGCACTGAGCACTGCCCATACGATCTCCGGCCTCTCGGAATTCTTTGCTTGCTTCCTCAAGGATCGCACTGGCTTCCTCATACTTGGCCTGCATGGGTAGGATGTTGCCAATGCTCTGGGTGCACTGAATCGTGCTGCGGCGGCATCCAATGGCTCTAAATACCCTTCTTGCTTCCTCCAGGCTTTCAGCTGCTCCGTCATACTGGCCCTGCATCCGCAAGATATCTCCTAGGTTTTGTGTGCACTGAGCGACGCCTAGGCAGGCTCCAATAGCACGGAACTCCGTCTTTGCTTCCTCTAGTTTCGCGGCCGCCTCATCGTACAGGCCCTCGGTCAACTGGGTGTTGGCGATTGCTTGAACGCACTGAGCAATATCGATGCGGGATCCAGTTGCTCGGAATTCCGCCCTTGCTTCCTCTAAGAGTACATATGCCGCTTCTCTGTCATCCAATTGCAGGCATTCGCCGATTCCCTGTGTACATTGAGCTACCCCCAGACGATCTCCAACAGCTCGAAATTCGGTTCGTGCCTCCTCTAATTGTGTAATCGCATCCTCGTCTTTCGACTGAAGGCGCAAGACCTCGCCGATTATCTGTTTGCACTGGGCCGCGCCGAGGCGGTGGCTAATGACTTGGAACTCTTTCACCGCATCTTGCAGGCATGCAGTTGCTTCGGTATACTGAACCTGCGTTACCATGATATCGCCTATGCTCCGTGTACACTGAGCTACGCCGAGCCTTGACCCTATCGCTCTGAATTGAGCCCTTGCTTCCTCCAGCTTCGCAGTGGCTTCTTGGTTATGGAACTGCATCCTCAGGATGTCACCGATGCTTTGCATGCACTGAGCGGTACCAAGGGTGTCTCCAATGATCTGATATCTCTCAATAGAGTTTCGATATTCTTGCATAGCTTCGCTGAATTGGTTTCTCTTTCTCATTGTGTTGGCGAGTACCCTGAGGCCCTCTGCAGCATTTTTCAGGTCTCCTTCTACTTCGAACTGTTGAACGGCATGTCGCAGTGGCCCCGTGCAATCGCCAAAACAAGCGAAGCTTGAAAAAGAACTAAGTTGCTGCTTGATCCAAAGTAGCCATCAAGGTGATCGCGAGCGGCAAACCGTCAAGTGTGGTGAGCAGAGCATCAAGCTCGTCATCCTGATTTGAGTTCAGATCAATCCAAGTGTTTCTCGCGGCCAATAGGGAGAGAGGCGGTAGAGGCAAGCGAAAGACGTCCACCCACCGCACACTCGTGGGGGGAGTAGACCCTCGCATCGTGATGATGAGCGAGACGCGAGTTTTGCTGCGATTATTGCAAACCACTTCTCCACTTCCTCCCGGTCCTCGTTATCTAGTGGGGTCTCGGCATTGTCGAAAACCAAAATGGCACGTTCAAGCGACGCGAGGTAGACTGGCACAGACGGGCGGGCGTTTGGATCGTGCTGCAGGTGTAGAGCGGCTGAAATCATGTTGGCAGTTCCGTCGCAGGTAGTCAGACCTTCGCAGCTCATGAACAACCGGTTCGCTCCATATTTGGCTACGATTCGCTCGTCGTTTATTATCGCCGCGGCTACAGAGGTTTTCCCGATTCCGCCAGGTCCGAGTATAGGGATATGACAGTTATCAATCTCGCAGAGGCGTTGTATAATCGATTCGACCAGTTCGTTGCGCCCGTGAAATACGGCCGGACTTGGTGGCATTTCCATCAACGGCATATCGGTTGGGCTGCAGAGTGCTGATGAATGTGTGGCACATGGCAGTACAAAGTGCTTCCTTACAGCTGAAATAGCATCGATCTGTTCCCCTGTTTTCCATAAGACTTGCTGCCAAACACAACAGATGATGTAGCGTACCCGTCCTTCCAACGCGACCAACCGCAGATCATGAGCATTCAGCCGCCCGCTGTTATCCACAACGTTCTTGAGCTGATATGATATTAGAGCGCAGAGGAGAAAATGTTATAATCCGCATGTACCGAAAATCTAAGATGGAATCAAGCCGCTCGTTCTGTTCTTCGATCTCGTCGTGACTGAGCTGTCGATATGGCGTTTGGGGATCATCCTGCTTCCGCATCAATGCTTCGATGCTGTTCAGCGCCCTGGGTCTGTTCAGCGTCATGCCAGATTTGCGCGCCGGGGAGAATGACACACTGGGAAAACTGGTCTAACAGTGTGATTGCCTCTGTATCTGTCGTTTCCGGGGGTGACATCCGTTGGAGAACCTGGTCCTTGACGAACGCGGCTTTGTGCGCCAGTTGTCTGCAATTCTCCTCTCGCCGCTCTATCATCTAGCGAAATCATTAAACAGATCACTAGATAAGTCAGGGAGAAGAACATACGGAGGTAATTCCGGTTGCTTTGGCTGTCATGTCTTCAATCCGTGTCTTCAACGTATCAAATATTGCATTCGACGGGAGGCTTAGCTTGATCCGACCAATCCTACAGCGAACTGAGTCCCCATATGAGCCACTTGGAGCCCCGCTCATGACGCGCCAAGAAGCGGGTCTCAGCAAGCAGGAAGATGAACTACGGGTAGATTCGTGTTATCGCAAGACGGGGGACGAAAGCAACTTTCTTGGGAAGGGCAATCCGCGGACTGGGGCAGCAAAGAGAGAGGTAAAGTAGTTTAGAGATAGTTCTTCGTCGAGGGAGTATTATATAAAGTGAAGAACGTCAGGGTGAGCTGCCTGGCCGTGGATCTGAGTAATTTGATCCAGCTGACCCGAGGTGATGAAAAGACACGAACGGACTAGAATAAGGAGCGTTCTTGGTGTGCGTGACTAAGAACAGTTCAACACCTGGGCGACAAAAGCAGTGACAAAATCTGAACATTGAGAAAGGTATGACAATCGGAGTCCCCGAGGGGCATAGCAAAGTTAGACGTTGAATGGTGCGTAGGCCATGGACATCTCAATGGCACGCGTCAGAGAACTGTCCGGCCCTGAAGCACGAGTTCCCTACTTTCTCGCACGTGATTCGCGGTCAGTTTGTCCAGTTGGGCTTGCGTGAGTTGACCACAATATTGTACATTGACATTCCATTTGAAGCTGTGGATTCTTAGGTGGTGATTTGGCAGTTCAAATGATATATCGCAGTTCCAGCAGAAGATGAGAGTTCTCCTGTGTATTGTCACATTCCGAGGTGCGGTACCGTTTTGATCTTCTCAGTGCACCAACCTAGATGGAGTTCAAGAGTTGAACATCATCTTACCCTGGAGTAGAGTATCCTCGTTGCCATCAGACTGCATGAGACGATCGATCATCTCATTCTTGGCGCCACGCTTCAACCCCATGGATCAAGAGGACAAATATCGGTGATTCTGTATCTGCCGGAGCCTATCGCCGAGGTGAATGACTGGAAGCACAAAACGAGGCTATCAATCCAGCGTGCGTGGGTTATTCACTGTGTGTATGAGCAGAGGTTATCGTTTCATCAAGCATTAGGAGGAATGTTGTGACTTGTTTGCGGATACACGATATGGGGAAGGCCAGGATTGATGTTGTTTGATCACTGCGAGCTGACCTTACGCATATTCACGACGAGGCACTGCTTTATCTGTTTCTAGATATTATATGTGCTCTAGATGGTAATATAGGTAGACGGCAGGCCAGCCTTCTTCCTGGTGTAAATCCGCGTGCTTATGAGTAAGGTGGCAATGAGGCTACAGCGTGCAATCATTAACCGTCCCTGTATATGTACCATCCACTGAAGACTTCTCTCACTCTCACTTTATACCCACCAACCAGCTATGCATACCACGGCACAGGATAAACTGGCGATCAGACGATGGTTTACTCGGAAATCGAAGCGCAAGTCCGGACATACGTCGCCCAAACCCACCAGTTCAGAGAGAAAAGTATCAGAGCAGACTGCGGATGGCGTGAAGGAGAAGAGCAAAACACAGACGACGCCTACAAAGAAAGTAAAAGCACCAGACAGGGATAAGCCTTTGCCTGCTTGTCCACCACCGCCTACTGCTGCTAGACCAACTCTCTTTCGACGCTTGTCTGGTCGTTCTAGTGCCTCGCCGTCGGCAGCTGCCCCGACAGCGACAACATCAACGACACCGACAGTGCCCACAGCACCGACAGCACCAGCAGCATCAACGTCGACAACGAAGAGCCCGACTCCTACCCCCGCCCAACCCACACCCAACCCAACAACACAGCAAGCAGTCGTCCTCTGCACCCCTTTCCCACCCCCATCTACTAGTACCCCCACGCGATCCAACACACTCACAACACTCAGCGCGACGCTCCTCTCCCTACCCTCTCTCACCACTTCCCCCTCCTCTCCCCCAGCAGCGGGGAACATCGCCCAAGTTCTGGGTCGGGCGAACCCGGACGTACTGAGAGTGCTGTCGAATGCCTCTGGGGGGAATGCGAGGAGTGTCTGGGAAGCGCTGGAGGTTGCTGGGAGGCAGAGAGCACAGGAGGGGAAGGAGGACAGAGAGGGCGGTGTTATGCTTTCCGCGCCGCTTGGTGTAGAGAGTGGACAAGACGTGGTCGTCGAGCTTGGTGAGGAATCTCTACCTGATGGGATAGAGAAAGGAAAAGGGAAGGAGAAGGAGAAGAGCAAGAGCAAACAACGAGTCGTTCGGGTATTCATACCGTCCAAAGAGAAATTGTCGTTCAAAGCAAACTGGTGGGGATTCACAATGTACGTCCATCTCCTCCTCCTCCTTTCGCCCACTAACATCATACCAGATACCTCCCCCCACCGGTGCTAGAAGCGCTCAACGACACCCACCTCACAGCAGCCAAACGCGCCGCTCTCCTGCTCGCAACACTCCAATGGCTCCTACGTCAAGTGCCCCCCACCGGCCTCCCACCGCAAGCGACTAGCACGCTTGTCCTCGTCCGCCGTCTCCTGCCCCTCCTCTCCGCTCTGGGTGCAGCGATCTCCGCTGCCTGGCTAGGCATCTGCAGCTTCGACCAGGGGAGAGGGGTCAAGTTGAGTGCGGCTTGGATATGCCCGCTTGTGCTTGTCCCGAGCGCTTGGGAGGAGGGGGACGATTTCCCGCTTGGACTGCAGGGGGTGAGAGAGGGGGATACGGTGCAGTACACGGGGGGTTTGATGGGCTAGCTCATGAGCGATGGAAGGAGGAAAGAAAGATACTGATACACGTTATATTCTAGCAACTTACGACCCATTATGCAGCTTCAATTTCAATTTCTCGTTGTCCTCGTTCTCGTCCTCAACGTCCAGAGCTCAACTAGAACAACCCCCTGAGCCAATCAGCCTCTTTTTCCATCTCTTCCATACTCCTCGGTTCACGTTCATCGTTATCCATCCTCAGCCTTCCCTTCTCGTCCGCTGCCTTCCCAGCACCAGCGCCCAACTGCCCAGGTAAACCAGCCTCGTTCGTCTCCAACGCAGGGTATACAGCGTCGTTCCTTCCCCCAAAATCTGTAAACCGGCGGGGGAGGATATGGACGTGAACGTGCGGCACTGACTGGCCAGCTGCGGGGCCGTCCTGGGGTTTGGTGTTAGCGGTGCACTGGGGAGGAGAGGGGGAGACGGACTTGGAGTGCGATGGTTAACGATTCCCCTTGGAAGGCTTTCTCGACTACTTGTCCTACTCTAGTATGCGTTAGTTCAAGGTAAGAAGTCGCCGTACGACGATAGATATCCCGCGGAGGTGATAGAGAAGTGGAAGTGTACTCACCGCCGGACAGTGTCGAACATATCTGTCAATTCTTCGCCTGTCAAGTCCGCAAGACGTTTGACCACTCTCCTCGGGACGACCAGCACGTCTGTATCATGTCCATCAGCCCAGAAAATACAGACGACGAGCAGGGGAAGAGGGGAAGGGAAGGGGACAGGAAGGGAGTACTGTAGGGATAGACGTACGACCTGGGACTATAGGCTTGAGGTTCACAACACCGTAGGACAGTTTTGTGTGATAGAACACTTGTCTGCTCACGTCGAATGTCGAGAATGTGAAGCGTGAGGACATTCTTATCATTGACTTTGGATGTCGAGGAGAGAGCAGGCGGCGTTGGAGGAGGGATGGTCGTCGTTGACAGCAAGTTGCAGCCACTAATAGTGAGGAATAACATGCTTAAACGGTGCAACAATAGTACATGAATAATAACCCGTAATTCCTCCATCTGCTGCCATTAAGTAGCTAAAAGATAGCATTAACCAAATCCCCTCCAATAGCCGCCCCAGCTCCGAACCCAAGACCTCCAGCAGCACTAGTAGCCATCACCTGTCCCAACCCGCCAAACCTGCTCTGTTTGGGCGGGTCCTGCTGAACAGGCTGCGGCTGGGGAGGGGGAGGCTGTTGCTGCCAGCTGGGTTGGGGCGGGGGCTGCTGCCATGTAGGCTGAGGGGGCTGTTGCCAGCTGGGTTGGGGCGGCTGTTGGGCCCAGGGAGGGTTGCCCGTGGGTGGGTAGTACTGCTTTGGCTCTGAGGGGGGAGGGGCGTATACCGTCCGGTCGGGAGTGTACGCAGGTGGGTTGGGCGAGCGCACCGGTGCGGGTGGTCTGTGCGCGGTCAGTCTGTGTATACCAATCATGAGGGGAGACGTACAGCTTGGTCATATAATTCGCTGGGAGCAGGCCTTCACGCCCGTTCAACCGGCCTTTCCACCAGTCCCCATTCGTCTCTTCTACAATATCGATCACGTCTCCTTCCTGGAAGACGAGGTCCTGGGGATCACCAGAGTTGTACGCCCAGTTGGCCTTCGCTTGCGCTCTAGGAGGAGGGGGAGGGGGCATCACTGACCCCGGCCGGGCGGGCATGGTACGCTGCCCTGGGTTGTTGTTGGTAGCGGAGGAGAGGGTGAGGTTGCTCAGCTTACTATCGACAGACCGGACGTCAGCGGTGGGAAGGCGGGCAAGAGCGGCGTCCTTGTCAGCCCTGGTGATGAGCGACTGGGATTCGAGGAAGTCTAAGTCGGCTTTGATGCGGGAGACGATATGTTCTATGTAAGGTGCTGCCATGATTGTAGTGGTGAGAAGGAGAGGGACGTTGAGAACGTTGAGGACGTCGAGGACGTCGAGGTCGAGGAGATGATGTTGTTATGCTGGTGATGAACCCTTTATAAAAAGCGGTGTTCGTGACACTCGGCTGCTGCGCTCTATTCTCGGCCTTTGAATCGTATATTATTTATTATATCATCTTACTACTTCTACGCTAATACGGCGTCCGCTGACAATACGATGCTAAAATAATAGTGGGTAAATCAGTGATTCTACAACTATTATAGACGCCCGCTGAAAGATAATTCTGTTTTACTGCTGGAATATCAGCCAGCGATCAAGTGAAATACAGTGGGCGAGATGATCTCAGTTACAAGCCTCATCTATGATCCATTTTAAGACTGTTCTGTCCCATTTAGTGCCAAGCATACCAAGCCATTGGAAATCCAGCCTACCGTCTCGCATACAAAATTAGGTAGATACCTCCAACGTTAACCTTACTGCTCACCGATCCTATGAAATTTATTTCATGAGATCATAGAATTGCACAATCGCGGACATCAAGCATCATCTTCAAATAAATTTGCACCTTCCATGCAATCCATGTCCATATAATATATATTCATTCGGAACACTTCATGGAACATTCCAACCTAGCGTAGGACCAGTCTATCCACGAACAAAGAGGGCGTTTACGAAGAATGACTCGCCTCTCTGTGCTTATCGCCGACACTCATTGCGTGGGGAAATGAACGGACAAAACTTGTCCCGTGTCAGCGCCCTCCGACATAAGTACCCCGCTGCCAAGTTAAACACCTCAGATCCGTCCTTTCAACGTCTACTCTAACTTACTACATAGAACTCAAGTAGACGATGTCCGTACCGGTGCCGACGTATAACGGGATTCCTGCGGTTGGTTTGGGCTGCTGGATGGGACAGCCAGGAGCGAGCGAAGAGGCGTATCATATGGTTCGGGAGGCTCTCAAAGTGCGTTCCACCACTCGATCGTAGTGCTTGTGCTGAGAAAGCACTAGATTGGTTACAGGCATATCGATACGTGAGTTATTGTAGATGGGTGATAGGCGAAGCTGATGATAGTCGCTCAGAGCATTCGGCTACGGTGCGCCCTCTCGCCCTTCTTCTTCTCCTCCAACTCACCCCTCCTGCAGAGAACGAAGAAGCCGTCGGCCGGGCGATCCGTGACTCCGGCGTTCTCAGGTCCGAAATATTCGTCACCACCAAGCTGCCTAATCAGGCGCATCACCGGGTTGTAGAAGGGTTCGAGAACAGCTTCAAGAACCTTGATATTGGTTATATCGATTTGTATCTCATGCACTGGCCTTGTGCGGCGGATGATAGTGGTGCGTACTACATGGTTAACCGGGTTCTGAGGGAAGATGCTGATGGAGAGAATAGGAAGGCAGCTGAGCCCCAAGGAAGGGAGGGACTTTGTCGAGGTATGGGAGGACATGGAGAACCTGCTCGAGACGCGTACGTCCCAACATTCCCCTTCCCTCCCTCGAATCTTACGAAGTACCAGACGCAGGCAAGGTCAAGCGTATCGGCGTTTCCAACTTCTCCATCACCTTGCTCGAAGTCCTCCTCCCGCAGGTCAAGGTCGTCCCCGCCGTAAACCAAGTGGAGGTGAACCCGTATCACCCCCAGATCCCCCTGAAGAAATACTGCGAGTCCAAAGGTTTCCCCGTCTCATCCCCAAATCCCAGCGTCTCTTGCTGAGATAAAGTATAGGCATCCAGATAGTCGCCTATGGTCCGCTGGGCCAGACAAGGCGTACCTTCTTGGAGGATCATGAGGTCGTTGCAGTCGCCAACAAGTACGGCATCAGCCCTGCTCAGGTGTGCCTTTCCTGGGCCGTGCAGCGGAAGACGATCCCTATTCCCAAGAGCTCGAACCCCGAGCGGCTGAAGCAGAATATCACCGTGCGCTTCCTGCCCCTCCCCGTCCCGGGAACAGGTACTGACTGATGCCCGTGCCCCCAGCTTGTAACCCTCGCAGAGGAAGACTTTGACAGGATCGAGAACCTGCATAAGGAGCCTGGGAAACATCGTAGTTCGGATGGGATGACGCTCAAAGTCCCGGGCAGTGTGTGGGGCTGGACGATGCAGGAGATGGGATGGCACGTTAACCTCGACGGGACGATTGCGGAGGATCAGTGAAGCGGACTTGATGTTGTATATGGATGATGTAACGTCGTGAGTTGGCGCGGACAAAGTACATGTCACAGGTTGATACGTCCTTTATCTGGGAATGAAGAATGAAGTGAACTAGTGCTCTGGATCTTGTGGATTCTACATGTCATACATGTAAACAACATAGCTCCAACAACTTTCACTTTATATAGTATCTGTGTGGTATACAAGAACAGTCAAGTACAGCGTCAAGGCCACATCCCAAGAAGTCAAAAAGTGACCCTCCCCTTATCCCATTCCCTAGCTTCCCCCCTCTTTTTATACACCACATCCATTATCCCTTTCTCCTTCCCCTCAAGTTCCCGTAATTTCCGTTTCGTCTCCTCAAGCAGCTCCTTAATCGGTCTTCCACGTTCCTCCAGCTCTCTCTCCTCCTTGCTCTTCTTCTTCCTCCCTCTCTTGTCCTCTTCATATTCCCGCGCCGCCTGCTCCCACTCCCGCAGGCGCTTTTCCTCCTTACGCAATTTGAGTACCTCCAGCATCTGGTCCCAACCCTCGAACTGGCCGGACTCGACAAACCCGTCCTGGGAGATCTGGAAGTCCAGGCGCGGGTCATACGCGTCGTCGAAATACCGGTCCATTTTGGACATTGGTGGAGAGCTGGGTACCGGGGTGGAGTCAAGATCGAGCAGAGCAGGATGGAGTGGAAGAGTGGATTTAGCTGATGAATCGGACTCGAGCCGAGGTTCATGCTTTCTACGCTCGCGGGATACAGATCGTCGCCTGCTAGGTCGCCAGACGTCTTCGTCTTCGTCAGAAGCGAGCTCTGGCCGTCGCCGTCGGGGAGGTGATACATCGTCATACCGATGTCGTTGAGAGTGTGATTTGTGCGGGGGTGATGAGGAAATACGTTCTCCACATTTCTGAGACGGTGGGGAGGAAGAGTATTCTCGATCGTCTCGTCGACGTTTGTGTGGGCGTGGAGAAAAGTCATGCTCGTCGTGTCGTGTACGCTTCCTGTGATCACCGTTACGATATCTCGAGTGGGACGTCTTCGAAGATCTCCGGTCGTCGTTATTCGATCGTGGACTCTCACCACTACCTCTTTCCCTGTGTTTGCTCCTCCCACTACTTCCTTCCCCTTCCCTCCTCAAGCTATTTCCCAATAACCTCCTCATCCGATCTTTCGCACCATCGGCTTCCTTCTTCCTACTCTCCCTCCTCTCTTCATCCAACCGCTCATGTCTGTCCTCATCCTGTCGTATCCGTTCCCAAACTTCTGCCTTATCCCGTTCCTCCCGTGCAAGGTCAGCAGCAAGCTGTTGTTGACGAATGACACTCGTGTTGTGGTCATCGACGTTCCGAAGCATGGTGGTGAGAAATCGCTTGTTCGTCTTGGGGAGGTTGCTCTCTCCTCTACACTACATATTAGTACTCAAATCGACATAGGTTTATAAGCGTACACACTGTCCTCCATTCGGCAGATACGCCCCTATGCCTTCTTTGCCGTACGTGAGCTCCTTCTCGCGCGCCTCCTTGAGGATGAGCTCAGCAACCACACGATCCAAATCTTCGTCTGGCACTGAGTCGGGAATGGCGCTCCCATGTGAGGCGCGCACTAGCTTAGATACAACACTAGAAAGCGTCGACATGCTCGCAATGGGTATAAGTACAGTGATTGTAATGGTAGTAGAGGAAATGCGGTTCAAGGGACGTTGCCTCCGAGGCGGTGCCACGGCTCCGACAATATGGTGGACGTTTTGGTCGCCTGATAAGGGGTCCCGGCTGTCCACAAACGGCTTCTGCCCATAGCTTTTGCTGGTCAGGGACAATCGGCGTTTAATTTCGGTCGAATCCGGGCTTTTTCCAAAATTGTAAAGTCCTGCTGTTGTGGTTGTGCTACAGTGAAGGGTCTGCAACACAGCCATCCGGCTCCATGGGAGCAACAAATTTGTTTCCCACGCAAGCAGAAATACAATGCTTCCGTATTTGCTTCCCTGCATCCAGGAACCAGGGCTTGTCTGCCGCGCGTCAAGATACAAGGGTCCAAACTCACAGCCACCCGGATGAACGGAAAAAGAAATGGAATCAAAATTTCCGGGGGGGGCGGCAGTGCGGCTACCTAATTCTGGAAGCAAAATTTCGATTTGTTGAGAGTCCTTTTGGACCCTTACTCCGGAAGTATACTTACTTCCGTTTAGAGAGTGCAACTGCCTAACCCAAGGAAACAAATTTGCACAGCATTTTCTTTTACTAATTTCTGGGCCTGTCCCTCTGAGTGCCAGCTCTTATCGCCGCTCGCAGGACCCCTAATGAGCTGTCCGCAAACGTACACCCGCACGTTCAGTTCTCGCAGCTTTCTACCATATCAAACAACGCTGCACATCTCTCTTGTTCCTCGGTAGTGACCTCTTCCTGCCAAACCGCAGTGGTTGTGTCCTCCCCACTCGCATCCTCCTCAGGGACCTCGTTCAACTGATGTTGGAGCACCTGCCTGTTCCAAGAATCGGTGTAGAGAGGCCATCCGGGGCTGCGTTCTAGCTTGTATGTGTTGGGATTACCACTGCGCACGAATGAAGTGAAGTATGCGAGCATCTCATGGAAGAAGTCACGTTGTTCATTCGACAGCTGGTGAAAAACAGTTGTTCCGTTGGAGCTGGTCATTGTTAGCAAACTGCATCTGCCTGGGGCGGATAATTTACCCAGTGCTCGTTCCCTCAAACATCATCCAGTTATCCGAGCTGTGCCAAACATCAGCCGGAAGACGAAGCGGCGGCGTTGGCTGATACCATCGGTACGCATACACCATGTCGAGCGACATTCCCAACAGATAAGTCTACTCATCCATCAGAAACTTCAAGTTTCCTCTTGCGAGAGAGCATGCGCACCGAACACCGGAGGCCTACTTCACCCAGTGCATTCCCCGCTCGGTTTGGATCTCTTTCTGGGTAGAGTCGTTCATACGTGTCCAATTCACTTTCCGTCATATGGGGGAACCGCGACTTGAGCGATTTCCGCAAAGGCTCCTTTCCACCTCCATCGTTAGTTGTATGCCTGCATCACGCTGTGAGATCTTCCACAAAATCCAACCTTTGACACCTTACCTAACCATGAGCGGCACCTTAGCCAACTTGCCTTCGTTCATCAACCTCGTCGGGTAATCCTGATAAGTTCTCTATCAAGGACTGGGAGCCAACGATTGTACGCATGCTCGCTTCTGTGGGTTCCATCAGCTTGACCGAACGACGGAAATACTGTGACAGCTCACTCCTTTATCATATCGTCTGCCGCACGAACCATCACACTGATGCTGGCTGCGCGTAGGCATTCCACACTCTCGTCTAGCGAGTCACGCGTGCAGTCGGCTTTGGCGGCCAAAGTGCGGAATGCCGCCTACAGTACAAACAAACAAGAGCCGTCAATTACCGCTTCCCCAATTTCGGAGTTTTCTCACCTCCTTCCGCTCTGGTCTTCGTGTTCCCGAGCGCGAAACAGTCTGTCCAATTACGCCATGGAAGAGTTGTTCCCCCGTCGCGTGATCGGCGAGCATCTGGAGCCACACGCTCGCTCCTCCCGCGCTCTGGCCCATGATCGTCACTCTGTCCGGATCATCGCCGAAAGCGCTTATATGCGATCGGGCCCATCGTAGCGCAGCGCGTTGGTCGTGCAAGCCTACGTTGAGGTCCAACGCCGATGTGGGGGCAGCAAGGAAGCCAAAAGCGGTGAGTCGGTAATACACATGAACGGCTGTGAAAAGTCAGCGTGATGCTTTCCAATCGATAGTTCGGCTTGCCAATAAACTTGGGGCAGTCATTCACCCTTGCTGAGATCAGGATCGGGTTGACATCTGAGTAACGCTGCACATACCATTGATCGAAAGGCCTGGGAACTCTTCACGTTCCCTCTCACATACAGCACGAAAACTCACCAATTACGGGGATTTCCGTTGCTTTATCAAATCTGTCATTAGTGAATATCCATCACAGGGGACTAACTCACGAAAAACCTCCGCCCTAAGGAAATCGATGTAACAATATAAGGAACCACTAGGAGAGACGTACGTGGATGTACACCAGAACTGGGAGCGCGTCTCCACGTCTTGCACATACTGGAGTATACACATTAACCTGAAATGTATGAGCTCGGTGTTTCCACTCCTTCCCCAGAAAAGCGTGCTTTCAAACAATCTTCAGAGCCCGCGCCGCCCCTATCGTCAGGCGCTGTAGACGGTCAATTTAGCGTTCTTCCACACCAGGATGACGGACTACTTGCCGACCCATGGTGCATATCCTTGTACGCAAAAATCAGGATATTGCGTTACATCGACAAGCGCAGACGAGACGCGAGTAGTATCAACAGGTACAGGTTTGCGGAATCTCAGTGCCCCTGCTGGGCATCAGTGTGGGTCTGAGCTCGCAAGTGCCAGCTCATAACTACCCAGCGGCGGTGCAGCATAGGGAATACCCAGGTATGCGACTGTATTCGATGCAGTTTGTTTTCCCAGATATCGAGCATAGCCAACATCTGCTATATGCCGAGCTGCTAGTAGCCCAGTTCCGGGGAAAACACGATAGAGAGTACACGGCGCGTAGATCCCAAACCCGAAGAGCACAAGCCAGACCAAGGTCATACCGGAGCGCACACTGAGTAAAGTTCGCCAGGAACCTTGAGGCCGGTCATACCTTCCCTTGGAGTTGCTGTTTTTCCTCTCCTTCGCCATGGTCGTAGAGAAGAGAAAAGCGCCACAATGCCTGGTCGGACCAATCGGAATTCGAGCCGGACATGGAAGATATCGACTGTTCCGACTTTGATCCGGACAGGCGGGACAGTTGGATGTCACGGGATGTAGCGACTGCCTCGCTGGAAATCGTACAAAGCTTCGAGGCACAGTAACGTTGGTGACTGCTAACCATGGGGCAGGATCTTGGTCTTCAGACAAGCATCATGAGAAGAACGAGTTGAAGTTTACCATGACGAGACAAAAGATATTGCCATATTATCAAAACGAAATCACGGAGAACATGACATTCGAGAACTACTTTACATGATCAGACAAAAATACAATCACATCCAACATATTCCGGCGCATATACGGAGTATTCAACATCCCCTCCTCCTCCTGCAGGAACCTGCCCTCCTTCCCGAATGTATGTGCACCATCTCGATCCCTTCCCTCGTTTCGTCCTTCTTCACCCACCCATTCCAACCACAAGCGTGCCTCCCCGACCAGCCCCATCCAGCTGCCTCGCTCTCGCACATAGTCGGGTCCCTCTGCTCTTTCACCTGGCTGTATTCTTCCCGGCGGTGAGCCCACTCCGCACGAGCAGCACGGGTCGCCTCGATGAGGTTGTGAATACGCCTTGTTTGCCGGTGGGATTCAGGTTCGAGGGCCCGTAAAAGGATGTGGAGGATCGTTCGAGTTCTGGAGGAGTGCAGACGCTCTTCGGGTGCAGGGAGATCCTCGTATCTGGTTATGCTGGTCAGTACATTCAATAGACACGTACACGGGATAATACTAACGGAGGGGCTTGGCTTCCTACGGGGGGGGGCATGAGATCGATCCATGTGCAGATTTGAGGGTGCAGGAGTAGAGGCGCTCAGCATGACAGGGGTATCCTTCATCCCCGTCTGTCCCAGGACGTACTCATAAGCTGGGGGTGCGGCAGAGGACGTCCCGGTGCGCTGGGCCGTAAGAGGCTTAGCCAGGCTGTCTTCGTATAGTTGCATGTCGACCGAACGGGATATTTGCCTACGGGTCGTCTAATCCAGTCGTCCCTGAGTCGTTGAGGGCACATTTATCGTGCGAGAGGGCCGTGCGCAGTCCTCAAGCATTCGGACGCTATCGATGAGAAGCAATGTGGAAAGTGGTCGCAGCAAAAAGCGCAGTCGATGCGCTGGACATCTCATTCAACGGGGCGGTGCTGCCAAGCCAATTGCAAGACTGTGGTTTGCACAATAACAATTTACGAGGATAAATGGTATAATATGTAATTAGATTGGACAGTGTGCTAGTACATAATATAACAATGTTATCTATTGATACAATATGAAAAGCCATGCGCTCATCGATCTTCTTGCGCGGCTCCAACAGCAGTTGGACGACGCAGTTGGTCTTTTTCTCCACTGGATCTGAAGGTGAAGCGTGGCGGTAGAGACGGACGTGTACGTATATTATCACCCCATGACGACTGTGGATTGAACGCGAACGGGAACCGCGATACCCTTCATTACGCCCCAGAAGATCTCGCTCCAGAGGTGTTTTCCGGCCGACTTCAGTGCGTCAACTTGTCCGTATCATGATCAGAAGGCAGATCAAAAGGTAGGATAACTGCTCACCCAGGCGTGTTGAGTCCAATACTCCACTCTACCAGCAAATATAAATATGCCCCGCCGAACGTGCCCGATCCCGCGCACATCCACTTCAGTGCCATCCACGCGTCCAGAAGTACAGACATGCAGATCGCGTGTTAGAGGAGGTCAAAGGAAAGAGGTTGTCGAGTATCATCTGGAGTACACTGTTGTTGTCCAGCAGAGGACCACTTGTTCTCAAAGGAACTAAATCACATGATGAGACCTTCAACACGTCCCTACCTATACGGAAGAAAACGGAAACAAAATGACATCAGAGAAAACACAATTACACTCATCCACCATGTCTTCAGGCCTGAACGAGTTCTTGAACCATGAAGATATACGCAAAGAGGTTGCTGAAAGCTTGGGCAAGTCTTTCAAACAGCTCGCCACAGCGCCCACATGGGATAACTTCGTGAGGGCGTGCTACATCACCATATTCCGTGAACTGCAGGAATCCACCAGGAAGTTCAGGGCCCGAATCTCTCGGCGGTTCCTAAAATATTCGGATGACATTGAACCTTGGCCATCCTTTGACCCAAGTGGCGAAGATAAAAAATGGAGAGATTTCATGGTGAAGACATTCTTCGGGTCAAAAGCAGAACCTAAGGCCGACGATGTCATCGCGGCGATCCAGCATCGTGAGTTCAGTCTCCATCCAGTATGGTTCAGGGTCGCTAACCAGCATTGGGAAAGCCTTCATTGTTGCAGCGTTTTGTGAAGTTAAGGCAAAGCTGGAAGGACGGTCAGTCGTTTGTCGGCTGCCCGGGTGCCTGTTCGTGTTCTGATTATTCTTTTCCTTTGGAAAAAAAAACACAGGGACTTCTTCAGATGAGAACTCTGAAAACCAAACTTTCTTGTTCTGACCGCTGTATAGGCTGGACATCAATCACGGTATGGCTTTAAACTTGGAAGTTGATGAACACGGAACTCAGCGAAAACCATAGAGCTTGCGAGTGTATTTGAAATCCCATACCAAAACGATGAGATAAGGAAAATTTTCATCAAGTATCTAGAACCCCGAGGCGTCGGCATTATGGAAGACCTGAAGACCTCACGTTGGGTATACTATTCGCGGTGTCTCAACATCATCGCTTCCTCTGGACAGGGCAAGTCCCGGCTGATGAAAGAGGTATCTGGATGATCTTGTTTTGTACGGCTGTCACCAACCTCGTGAACAGGTTGGCTACGGTCGACGCGACTGCATTTCCCCCACCCCGGAGGATGAACCAGTGTTCTGTATACCGGCCAATATCCGAGAATTGGACGCACCGGGATACCCATTGCCGGACCCTATAGTATTCAAGTACTTCAAGACGTTGCAAGGTCGTTATAGTACGGACAGCCAACAGTCAGATACGGCACACTGGAGAGCAGCAGTGTTCTTATCCGAAGCACTTAAGCATGCCTTGACATGCCTCAAGGACATTCCAGAGGCTGAGTATGTGCCAAAGCTAAGGGCGTGGAATGAGAAGATGGAGGGAAGAAATCGAGAATACCGAGATCAATTTTGGGAAGATGTTGTCAATAATGCGGAGACAGTAAGGAGTATTCTCGTACCTATCTGATGGCATCTCATGTCTCCGTAGACGTACGCAACAACCATTATAAACCGGGGCAGCCCTTCTCAACAAAAGTTCATCGAGCCCGCCACAAACGAGTTGGTCTCCTACCTGTCTGTGCTGCGCGGCTCCGACGCATCGGTGATAATCTACTTTGATGAAGTTGCAGGATTCCGAAACCTCTATTGGATCCTCTCACGGGTGCTCAGCGCTCAGAGATCAGCACCGTTGTGGGTCGTCTTCATGGCCACCAGTGGAAAGCTGGAAGATTACGAGCCGCCGTGGTGTAACAGTGCGTTTCGACTTTTCATGTGTCTGTGTCTCTTCTCATGCAGGAACAGTAAGCTCCAAGCGATCGAGCGAGGAGCGTGTGCAGCTACTCCCACCGTACTACTCTCTAGGCTTCGATCAATGGGCTCAGAAGGCAGCAGAGAGCCGCACGATGGGTGATTTAAGTACTTGGCTACACGCATCCTATTACGGTCGTCCATTGTGAGCAGGATCCCCTAGATCATGGTCCCTATCTCATTGTAACCGCTGCGACAGGTGGAACGCTCACCTCACAATAAATCCGTCATACAAGCCTCTTTGGGTAGGGACTATGAAGTTGACTTGCAATGAACCCCATGCGGAGAAGAACACAGGATGCACCCTTCGATATTCTCCGCCCTCATAAACCTTAATCTCGTGCTGCACACCGAGGAGGCCGTTAAGACGGCAGAACTCGCCGTGTCGAGTCATATGCGGCTGTTTGATGGCATACAACTGGAGCCAATGGCATATCTTACCCACACTCCCTCGGAACCTGTTCTGGCGCTTTGTGCCGCTCATTTTCTCTTTAAAAGAAAAAAATTACCTGATTGCTTGGAGACGCTGGTTACGGAGCTATGCGGTAGCGGCATAATCCCGAGACGCGACATTGGGGAGCTGGCAGCGAGGCTTCTGCTCTTATGCCCAAGGATTGCAGCTAGCGATGCTACCTTTCAGGACCCGATCCCGCTACCAAACATCACACTGGTTACGTACTTGGAAGCGCTTCTAGGACCTGTGCTCGACAGCGACTTCAAAGAGACATTTGACAATACTTGGGTCAATTTCCATCACTGGGTTGTCTTGTCGGGAGCTGGAGCTCTCCCAAACAACTTAGATCGGTATGCCCCCCTTTTTCTGCTTCATGTGAACTGGCTCAGACTTGGATCAGGACAACGTTAGCCAACTTGTGGGCCAGAGGGGCCGCGATCCAATGGTGGTATAATCAAGCATCCGTACATCTCCTTTTCATCACGTATCGGGGATCGAATGAGCCCAACGCGTTGTTTGATCCGCGCAACCTTTCCGCCGTCCACAGCAGGTGACGCTCAGCAATAGGCCGTACTCGAATGCCTTGAGGTGCCTCCAACCTGTTGGTCTCGCTAGGCGTCTTGCGAAATCAGGTATGCCTTACTTGGTTATCCTCATGGAACTGGGCAGGAACGTTCCATTCGACAAGGAGCGGTATGTTGACATCCAAAAGCCTCTCTCGATCACTCAGCGTGGACCGGGTGATCTACCTGTTGCGTCGTCAACAAGAAACGATGACTCGTCCAGAGACATCCATCAGCGTCGTTGGTCGATCAATGTCCGTGGTCACGATTCTTCGACGTATCCGTACTTGGCAAGCTGGGGATCTTGTCCCATTTCACCCGGTTGTTGCACCTGCGTACGCCGGGTCCGCAGACTAAGCTGGACGAACAAATGTGGCCTGGCACCCGTCTTTCCGGCGGGCAGGCCAGTTGGATGCTTGACATTGATGAGATTGTGCCACAGGGAGGTGTAAATGAGGACGTTGAGATGACGGCATGATGACTTCTATCAGTTGAGCCCAATGTACAGTACCTTCTCCTGTAGTTATAACAAGACATATGTGCAATGGTTCTGTGCGTCTGGCTGAGGATGAAGGGTGCGGATTTACCAAACGGAGAGTTTGTCTAACCCCTGACAGGAAGTCTGCTGCAGGAGGGACTCAATCTAACGCCAACTGGTCGAGCCGGGGTAGTGCGCCATATACACATGCAGCATTCATCAGACTTTAGTACTGGTAGCAGGGTTAGATGAACCACTTCTCTCGTCACATGTAGGGCATGAGCAGCTGGTCCCGAGCTATGTAATCTTCGACCCCAATGTCCACTATGCACTGAACAACCCCACCTTTAGCAGGGTGTGTTGGGCCAGTATTCCCACAGATATTTGGAGCCCTACTGACTGTTGCACAGCACTACGGACCCTTGCAACAAGTGCTATGGACCCTGTTAGGGCAACACAGGCTGACTAAGTCTGCTCACCTAAGAGTGCCAAGAGTCTAAGCAGGCAACAAGGAAGTGGAGTAGACCTGATGACTGAGACCTATCTACAGTATAGGTACCTGTGGATGATCCTAAGAGACCAAGTCTGAAGAGACAGTCCCCAGGCAGAGTAGGCCTTATATTTATACCTCTGTGGTGGAACCTGCTAGAACATGTTGCTTACTCAG